ATATATATATATATATAATGTAATATAGAATGCCTCATACGAGTTTTCTATATTAAATGATAAGCTTAAAACAGATGTTTCTGATCAATTTTAAGAAGTAGAATTCGGTCTCTTACAAAGAGCCATAAAAAGTCAAGATAAACAGATAAGGCCAGATAAAAGATTATTTTCTGAGGTTAATGGGGAATAATTCGTAGATGAAGTACGCATTAAGATAGTCCCAAAAATTCCACAGCGGTAGAATGGCGCCATCCTTTTAGTGAATCAAAATCTCTAAACTTTATCATTTGAATGACGTTTCATTAAGATAAGAATATCCTTGCAACCTCCTCCCTTTCAGAACCCCCCTTTAAATATCGAGAGCACCAAAAATTCGTGACTTTTTCATATTTTCATGGCTACATAAATCTGTGCAAAATCCCAACATCCCTGCTAGGGAAACCACCAATGTAATCGAGGGAAAACTCCGGCAAACAATGTTTTCAATACTTTATATAACTTAATAAAATGTCTACTTGTGAGAATAAGCCTAAGTTTCTTCAATTATCTGGCCTTTAAAGACATATTATTTTATATATATATACGAGGGGGAGGGTAATCAAACTTAACTCCCTCTATACTATGCAACTCCCTGTATCACACAGTTAAACATTTCGGTATTTTGATTGAAAAAATTATGTCTTTATTTTTTAAAGAAAAATCTTTTATCTTTGCCAAAAACACAATATTAATTTTAGAAATAGTGTAAACTCACCAGTGAAGGAACACTTAAGCTTCGCTTGCCTTTTAAAAAATCATATTAATATCAAAATTCGTAATTATAGTTAAATGACAGTGTCAACATATTTGTTACTAATTGCAAATTATGTAAGAAAAATGCAGAGATCTTACATAATATTGTTTTAAAGTTTTGGAGATTCAAATAACAAGTAGTAAGAAGACCAAGTGATGGAACAGCCCTTACCAATGAATGAACACCCAGTAAAGGATAGAAGTCTATTTGACCAGGTAATCCAAAGTATTGCTAGATGACTTCCTATTGTTTGATAGTAAGCTATTGTTACCAATCAATCTAAAGAAAAACTTTCAAATTCTTATTTTTAATCAATATATATGAAATGTTCCTTCACTGGTTGATTTACCCTACATGTCCTTTGTTTTTAAAATGAATTAAAGCACATCTCTATCCGATTAAAAAGAGAAGTAGCGAGTAGTTTTTCATCTAAAGTGTTACGTGATCAACCAGGGGGTAAATGATTAACTAATATCTAATAGATATTTAAAGAGTCAAGAACATTGCATTTACCGCTCATTTGAAAAGAACTCCAATCATTGCTGTGTGAAAGGGGAGTCATCCTCTCATATAGTCTTTATAAATTTCTGTTTTCAACCTGTAAAAGAATCAAAAACTATTCTAAAAAATACAAATTGTGATTTTTTTTACATTAGAAATTAAAAGTAATTATTTTAAATTCATTTATTTATTATTATCTCAAAGTAAATTCCGTCCAATAAGTCAATCGGAAAAAGTGTAAAATATCACAATAAATTTAAAACAAAACAAAACAAAAAGCATTTAGGAAAAAGATTGCGTTCATCTTTAGTAATTTAAATTATACAAAACAATGTCATGAAAATAAACTATTTCAATAATCTGAACGAGTAGTTGTATCAAAGAATATACATAGGGCTAGGGAAAGAGGTCTAGCTTTCATTGACATAATGTAAACTAATTCCCAACTATTAGGTGCCTTTTTGTGTTTAAAGGAGAAAACAACATTTTGGGGCACAGCAGAAGAGGTTTTTGAAACGAGTTTGGACCATCCTCTCCTCCTAACCAATGCTGGGAATATAGCAGGAGTTGACACCATCTCGGAAGCAGAGTCCATTTCAGTACGGGAGTAAGAAAAGAAACATCTCCGCGCTTGAAATTGGGACAACCCCTAATGCACACCAAACACAAAACAGTTCATTCCTTTTCAGTCACTTACTTCGCTTTATCATCTGCTATTATACCTTTCGTTTCTCTAGCTCAGTGTTTCCCAAAGTGTGGTAGGCGTACCCCCAGGGGTACGGGAACAGTTTAGAGGGGGTACGCGTTCTTATGCAAAATATCTTACAACAAACGAAAATTTGAAAAACATTTACTTAAAAACAAAGCTAGCCATGAAAATTTACGAATACGTATTTTTCTATTGGCTATTTTTTGCAGAGTTAACAGTTAAAAATTAGTCGTGTCAACAGTCAGTTGCGATTTTTAACTTTTGTGCATTTTTTTTACAGTAAAAAATACATTCATTTCTTTTTTAGTGGTACACAGAGTTACAAAAATTTGGAAAGGGTACACAGAAGTCATAAGTTTGGGAAACACTGCTCTAGCTAATAAACTACATTTTAAATTTAAAAACTGCCGTTTTTCCAGCAAAATGTCTCAAAAAGGGACAAACTATTCCCTCCAAAGAGAGAAATATCGTAAAAAAAATGGCGCCAAATATCAAATTTATGAAATATTTAATGTTAAAAAAATGCACATAAGGTTTGCGAAATAAATATTTTTGCCATAATATTGCCAAATAGCAACCTTGAGCTGCGATGGCTCAGGGGATAGAGTGTTCGCCTTCCAATGAGGCTAACCGGGTTGCGACTTTACACATTGTCGAC